ATCACGTCGCAGTCATCGGTTTTTCAATCGTTAACCGGAGTTTGATATCCTGGCTCCCACATTGAACTTTACGCCTATCAGAACACGGGGATTTGAACCATTGACGGGCAATAGGGCCACCTCATCGCATAAGGGCTCGGACTTAAGAATTGAGTTCGCAATCACCTCTTCAGTCCTCTTAATCACCAGCGGCGATAGCTTGGTAATTAAGATCGGCGCGGAATTATGAGAGATCGCAAGCACGAGGAGGGGCAAATCCTCGCCGATTGCATTTTTGGTTTGCGTAAACAACTTAGTGGGAGAGGGGAGATTTGAACCACGTATTTGGAGGTGGGTAGGGGATGGCGAATCGGCAATAGCAGTGACAATTATGACCAAGAAGATAAAGACGAAGAAGTAGCGATTGCTTATGAGCTTGAAGAGTTTTTGGGCCAAGGCTTCAACTCTTGGATTTGAATCTTTAATGATTTTTTTCTTGTCTTTTTGATCGATCAATCGAAAATTTTGATGCGAAATAGGATAATTTAAATTTGCCATGAGATGGAAGAAGACTAGTTGGGTGAAGAGGAGGTTTATGCAAATTAGGGCTTCAACACAGATTATTGACATGAGAGAGATATTTTAGAAAGAGAGAACATAGAGAGAAAAAAAATGAGAAGAAGGAAAGTGGCCCTGCCAGAAAAAAGAAAGAAGAGAAGCAGTTGAAGAATGCTTAAAAAAAGTAGAACCCAAAAAGGTTAATATTGTCAAAACATTATAAGAGGAAGTGTTTTAGCCTTAGTAGGAATGAAAAAGCCGCGATCCTCATTTTATTGCACCTTTAATATATATGGCCGGCACACAATACCAAACCAGTACTATGACAATCAATCAATTCTGTGGCCAAGAAAAATGTTTCAAAAACTAAATCTATTGATTGTCAGCTTTTCTTTTTCTTTTGAGGCCTGTAATTAGTATAGGATGTGTAACGAACGGTTCATTTCACGTTGATCTTTTCTCCAACGTGGGTATTTTAAGTGATCACCACCAGAAGGTGTTGGGTGATGACACCTCCAAAAGTTAACTGTTTCAAATATGTGAGGAGCTTTTGACCAAATATATATATGTGAGGAGCTCAACGAGGGAAGTCACTAAAATTTGTTGATTGAGTATCATAGTCATACTCGACGAGGGGTAAAAAGACACTAGATGGAACTCTACATACCTAAAGCTTGAGGATGCTCGTCTTTCCATGTCCATTTTCCCATTTGATGTACCTTCCCGGCCATGGTCTCTTCTTCGAAATTAGATCAAATTTCTAGCACTAGAAGAAATAACAGGAGATTTGTTCTAATAGCTTGAATACCTAAAAATCTTTAGTAATTTCTTATTTGTTAATTGTTTTTCATGTTTAGGCTCTGTTTGCTTCGCAGAAAATGAATCATTTGAAAAATATTTTCCTAAAAATGATTGCTTGTATCATTTATAAAAATTAATATATAGAGTATTTAGGACCCGTGGTCAAGTGATGTAGGACACTACTTCAACACCCCCTCTCACTTGCAAGCCACATTATAAGGGCACGTGGAATTTGACTGATGAGGTAGGATGCACATTCACAAAAGGGATTATACTGCCTCTGATACCATATTAGATTTTATGAGATCAGTGCTAACTGTTCTAAAAAGTTAAGCTATTAGATAAAAGTGTGGTTTAATATCTAAATATTCCAACACATACGATGACATCCATAATTAAGGCAAAATCAGGAAATCTACCATCAATTATCATGGAAACAGATGAAAAAATGTTGAGGGCTAAGCAAGATAGTCACTTTAACTCTCGATATGCTTTCGGTCCTTCTTGTTGGTTAAGACGATCGAAGCTGAAGCTAAAATGGGGTCTTTTTCTTTGGCTCCTTCTCATTTGGCTTCATTTACCCACAAGAGCCATGTCCTCCCGTCCATTGTATAGACTTCAAATTTTTTTTTAAATGCCACGTTAGACTTAAAAATTCACTAGAAAAGCCACGTAGAACAAATCGCCGGAATATCTCACCAGAGGCATTGTAACGACCCGGTCCGACGAGGGCGGGGAGTGGTCGCCGGGGCCAGAGGGCCTGGACAAGGAGCGGCTCCTGGCAGGCTTCTAGGATGGCAATGGGGGGCATGTCTCTTGTCCCACATCGCTTAGGGGGGGAGTCCTGGGCTAGTTTATAAGGCTTGGGTTCTCTATTCTGTGTAACGCGTTTTAAAGCCGTGAGGGTCAGTGGGCCCAAAGCGGACAATATTACACAGTGTAGATCCCGGGTCCTTACAAATGGTATCAGAGCCGACTCCCGACCGCGTGTGGGGCCACAGCGAGGACGCTGTGCTCGAAGGAGGGGAGAATGTAACGACCCGGTCCGACGAGGGCGTGGAGTGGTCGCCGGGGCCAGAGGGCCTGGACAAGGAGCGGCTCCTGGCAGGCTTCTAGGATGGCAAGGGGGGCATGTCTCTTGTCCCACATCGCTTAGGGGGGGAATCCTGGGCTAGTTTATAAGACTTGGGTTCTCTATTCTGTGTAACGCGTTTCACATGGGCTTGCTTCCGCTGCGCATGATGAGAACAAAGCCTTGAGGGGAAGGGCCAGAGAGCGCCCCAAAGAGGACAATATTGGGCTTGGGGGAGGAAGGGCCAGAGAGCGCCTCTACCCAAGTCAACGCGTTTTAAAGCCGTGAGGGTCAGTGGGCCCAAAGCGGACAATATTACACAGTGTAGATCCCGGGTCCTTACAATATTGTAAGGACCCGGGATCTACACTGTGTAATATTGTCCGCTTTGGGCCCACTGACCCTCACGGCTTTGAAACGCGTTACACAGAATAGAGAACCCAAGCCTTATAAACTAGCCCAGGACTCCCCCCCTAAGCGATGTGGGACAAGAGACATGCCCCCCATTGCCATCCTAGAAGCCTGCCAGGAGCCGCTCCTTGTCCAGGCCCTCTGGCCCCGGCGACCACTCCCCGCCCTCGTCGGACCGAGTCGTTACATTCTCCCCTCCTTCGAGCACAGCGTCCTCGCTGTGGCCCCACACGCGGTCGGGAGTCGGCTCTGATACCATTTGTAAGGACCCGGGATCTACACTGTGTAATATTGTCCGCTTTGGGCCCACTGACCCTCACGGCTTTAAAACGCGTTTCACACAAGCTTCCGCTGTGCTGAGAACAAAGCCTTGAGGGGTGGGTCTGGCCTGTGGGCTTGCGCCCCAAAGAGGACAATATTGGGCTTGGGAGAGGAAGGGCTAGAGAGCGCCTCTGCCCATGATAATGCGTTTTAAAGCCGTGAGGGTCAGTGAGCCCAAAGCGGACAATATTACACAGTGTAGACCCCGGGTCCTTACAGTCATTGTAGTGATCGATTTTCCATTAATGTGGCACTCAAGTGATCAAAAAAGTTATATGGTACTCATGGTGTCCTTTTTTCCCACAAAAAGCTCCACACCAAAAGAAGAAATATGTGGAAGAGAGAATTATGTAATTTATGTATATTTTTGTGTATGTCGTAACGAAGAGTACATGAGCCTAACAAGATTATTCAATCGGAGATATGTACAGTCAAAGAAGATAAATACACAATCTCAAGTGATATGAAATATTAAGGAAATATCATGAATATCTCTAACTATGCATCTTCCGACTTTAATTTTTACTAAAAAATTAAATAAAATATGTTGTCTCGTTTAAGATAACTAATAAAAGTAAATTAGCAATAGTGGACAAAATAGAAACAATTATTAGGCCAATTATCGTGAAAAGCCTAGAATTTTTCACTTTTCTTTTTATCAAATCAGTATCTAAAATAATAAAACAATTCTCCCGGAGACCATCGAATATGAACAGTAAGAAAATTCTCTCGAACGTCTTTGCGACGTCAGGTCAAGAATAAATGCAAAGCACTGTATAAGAAATAGACCGAACGTCGTATAAAATACCCAAGCTCGAAGATCTCCGCTCTCGAAGCCGAAGGTCGTTTGCTGTCGATTGCAAATATCACAAAAATCACGGGTAGCAACTATGGGAGACGCACCACCGAAAAAAGCTACATTCAGGCTATTCAGCTGCCCCTAATGAATAGGGCGTCGCTGATACAAGATCGATATGAGTTTGGTTAGGGTGGCTTTGAATTGTAGGACTTGTCTCACATTCAAACTAAGACACCACCAAACTGCCTTTCCCTCGTACGTTTTGTCGTACCACGCCCACAGATAGAAAATCTGCTATGATGGTTGTTGCACATGAATGAGCTCTAATTGAAGCTTCTATTATTGATTGGTTGAACGAAGGGGTCCCATACCTAAGTCACAATCTAGGACAATAGTTATTCACGATTTAGTGAAATTACTTCTTCTAACAATAAAGTCTAATTATATCCGAACTTCATCAAGTATCTCACAAAAGAACACAAAGTTTGGCTTCCAACCCAAAAAGTCCGCCCTTTTAGCTTCTATCTATAGTAGTTGTTAGAAATTTGACATGTTGATCGGAATGTACTATATGTGTCTCGGATTTAGAAGACATGGAGCGAGGGCAAATAAAAAGACGGCCGCATCACTCCATAAATTGCTAAAGAAAAGTGAGAAATATTAGTTAGTCTTTACTTTCCAACCTAGTGAGAGGCCACTCCACTCACTGATCATCACGTGTCCAAATGGCATCTACTCGTCGGAGCTTTCAAAACCAAAAGAAGAATCACATGGGACGCAAACTTTCTCATTCACAGCATCCAGCAAGGACTTCTGTCGTGGCTCGAGCGTTAGTTAGTGTTCAAATTCATTAATTAATCAAATCTAGCTATTAGCAATAGGTTAGACGAGAATCTTCTCCTTGCTTCTATTGTGTGTACCAACATAGAGAACGCGAGATGTAGCTTTCGACTGACCCATCTAAACCATCTACTAATCATATGATCAATATAGCAAAAATTGGAAGCTACCCAGATGCCACCATAGTCACCAGAACTGATAAATTATAAAGAAAATAGTATGATTAAATTACTGATAAAGTTGAAGCAGGCTTCCTTACTGATAAAACAATCTCTCTCCCTTTGCTTCTTCGCTTCCTCTTCTCTTTTTCTTCGCTTCCTCGGCTTCCCCTTTAGGCAAAGCAAATCATCTCCGTCCGACAATGGCCTTACACTGCAAAATCACCTCTTCACTCTGCACTTGACCTCTCTTCTTCAACCCTCACTTCAGCCATCTCCGAATGCCCTACTCTTCTCGCTCTCTCTCAAGACCCCTCCTCTCTTGCAGCCCACCCACCACGGCCCTTGCTTCCATGGCTTCGCATTCAAAACAGCGAGCCCGACAGCCTCGGACTCGGCCCGGATCGTTCGGAAAGTTTTCCTCTTCCTGCCCAAGGTCGATCCGGCCGAGGGTCACGCCCAGATTAAGGAAGTGAAGTTCGTGAAGAGCAGTGGGAGGGCCAAGGATTGTCCCGAAATGGGAGGCCCGAGTTTGCAATTATGGGTCCGTCTAATGGGGGCAAGTCTTGGCATATCAATGCTCTGGTTCAGAGGAAGAAGGAAGTTACAGTTAAATCCAAGAAACCAGGTCCTTTCTATTCCTTATGGTTTTACTTTTTTCGCGTGGGATGGGCTGATTGATTGATGTATTTTGCAGGCAAGAGAGCTTATAAATCACTTCTTGGTGAACAAGAGTTGGTACGTTGTGGATTTGCTGGGTTACGGGTGAGCTTTAAGCATCTGGCTTTTGGCTTGCTTAAATTTTTCAGCTGTGTGGCGGCTTATAAATGCAAAAAAAAATCGCAGAATGTGAGCTAATATGTAAGTTTTGTTTCTGGGAATGCTGCAACTAATCGAGTGAGGTAAGTAGTCGATTCAAAGCTGTTAGAGTGGGAAACTGGAAAATCGTTGGATCACAACTTGTTGACGAGCCTTCAAAACTTGATTAATTGCGCTCAAATGGTTTAAGCATTTTTTACCTGTCACTTTGGATATGCCAAGGTAGTAATTCTTTCAGCTAACATGTAGAGGCTGGAAATTCCGTCTCCAACTTAAGGTCTTTCTGTTCCTCACGTAGTGGACCCTTTGACAAGCGGCAAAGGATTAGTTTCCGTCTTTCGATATAAATCGTGAAGTGGAAGAAGTAAATTTTTACATGCTTTGTCTTCATACTATGCTTTTTCATTGTTGCCTTTGTCAATCAACAGTTCCATGGAATGAGTAGAATAAAAATAAACAGTTAAAGGATTCTTCGAGCTAAAAGATTAGTTTTGCTAATTAACTCTCCCACAAAAATAGCTCTCCATTCACTCTTTTCATTGCCGCTTATCTATCATAGCTGACAGAGGATACGAGTAAAAATTACCAAGTCAGTGAGTAGAATGTTGATAAACAAAGGTCGACTCAAGTGACAAAAAGGCTCCGTTGACGGAGTGAGAATGAAGTAACCATCCAAGTATTGTAGCCAACAATTTTGGATGCAACTGCATGAGAGATATTCGTTCAAGGGGGAACTTAAGGCAATCGTAGAGTAGTGAAGCCAAGAAGTTCATGAGCAACCGATAGTGAAAATTGGGCAAAAGGACACTATAAGTGCCATAACTTGTGTACGGAGATCATTTTGGTGCCATAACTTTTTTTCGGATCACTTTGGTGCCAAGTCGGAGGAAAAACGATCACTTAAGTGTCATAAGTTTTTTTTGGATCACTTCAGTTCTAAAATTTTTGAAAAACGATCACTTAAGTGCTAAAATTTTTTAAAAACGATCATTTAAGTGCTAAAAATTTTGAAAAACGATCACTTAAGTGCCAATCTCCGGCGAGCCACGTCAGCTTCAGAAATTAATAAAAAAAATGCCACGTCGGATTTCCGACGAAAAATTGTGTACGGCACCGGAGTTGGCACTTAAGTGATCGTTTTTCAAAAATTTTAGCACTTAAGTGATCCAAAAAAAACTTATGGGACCAAAGTGAGCGCCGTACACAAGTTATGGCACTTGTAGTGTTCTTTTGCCGTGAAAATTGTGGAAAAGTGGAAAGGACAACCGTGGAAGTAGCGGAGAAGAAGCAATTATTGAAGTGGTAGAGTGGTTCATTTTTTAGTAACTGTTGGTAATAGAGATTGCTGAATTGTAAGAATTGCATAGGGTATATTCAATTTCTTTTTTAATCGTTGATAACTATCGGTAGTAGATATAAATACTTCAATTGTAGTTTGTAGAAGAGACCGCCAATCAATCAAAGAAAACCAATAGTTCAATTTTTTCTTCCTATTTTTAATATTTCATTACCTTTACATGGTTGACATGATTATCTCCAATCTCACATTTTTAATTTTCTCTTGGTTTGCGTTTCCTGTTTAAGAATTAACAAAGGACTATTTATACCCTTTGTTGAATTACTCATCGATCCATGCTTTGAAATGTATTTCCTCAACACTTTTCGACAAAACAAGTTGATTGGATTACAATTACATCTAGCAAGCTCGTGCTATGCATGGGAATTGATGGATTAATTTCTTGGTTACTCCAAAATCCATTAGATATTATTAGCAATGCGCTAATCTGTGGCAAATCATTAATGAAATTAGACATATAAAGAAATATGAATGATAACTTTGTTGGGAAAATTACCAAAAAAGTCATAAACCTTTTGTAAATGTGCCAATTCAGTCCTAAACCTTTTTTTTTTTTGCCATTTCAGTCCTAAACCTTTTACAATTGTGCCAATTCAGTCCATCCGGCCACTTTTGGTCGGCCGGCGCTGACGTGGACGCCGGCCGGCGCCCACCGGCGCCGGCCTGCTGACGTGGCATTATTTTAATATTTTTTTCCTTCTTCCCCCTGGCCGGACCGGCCAGGGGGAGGCTCGCCGGCGAGGTGACCTCACCGGCCATGGCGAAGCCGACCTCGCCGGCCATGGGCGAGGTCGAGCTCGCCCGGCCATGGCGAGGTCGAGCTCGCCGGCCATGGGCGAAGTCGACCTCGCCCGGCCATGGCGAGGTCGAGCTCGCCGGCCATGGGCAACGGCGAGGCCTCGCCCGGATATGGCGAGGTCTCGCTAGATCTGGGCGAGGCCTTGCCGGCCACCGGGCGAGCTCGACTTCGCCCATGGCCGGCGAGCTCGACCTCACCATGGCCGGCGAGGTCGACCTCGCCCGGCGACAAGTGAGGTCTCGCCGGATCCGGGCGAGGCCTCGCCGCCGCCGGGCGAGCTCGAGCTCGCCGGCCATGGGCGAGGTCGAGCTCGCCCGGCGACGGCGAGGCCTCGCCGATCCGGCGAGACCTCGACGCCGCGGGCGTGCCCGACCTCGCCCAAGAACGGCGAGGTCTCGCCAAATCTGGGCGAGGTCTCGCCAGATCCGGGCGAGGCCTCGCATTCGCCGGCGAGCTCGGCCTCGCCCATGGCCGGCGAGCTCGGCCTCGCCGTCGCCGGGCGAGCTCGTCCTCGCCCATGGCCGGCGAGGTCGACCTCGCCATGGCCGGGCGAGGTTTTTGAGCGAGGCCTCGCCGTCGCCCATGGCCGGCGAGCTCGACCTCGCCATGGTCGGGCGAGGTCGACCTCGCCCATGGCCGGCGAGGTAGGCCTCGCCGGCGAGCCTCCCCCTGGCCGGTCCGGCCAGGGGGAAGAAGGAAAAGAAAAAGAAAAAAAATATTAAAATAATGCCACGTCAGCCGGCCGGCATCCACGTCAGCGTCGGCCGGCCAAAAGTGGCCGGATGGACTGAATTGACACAATTGTAAAAGGTTTAGGACTGAAATGGCCAAAAAAAAAAGGTTTAGAACTGAATTGGCACAATTGCAAAAGGTTTAGGACTTTTTTGGTAATTTTCCCTAACTTTCTTTATACGTAATACATATTTTGCTATTATGAAATGTTTGAAAAGTCAGTCAAGCATGAGTTGCCAGGATTGTGATTATGCAATTTTTCAATAACATGAATTTTAATCTTCATTCAACTATGAGTTAATATGCGCTCTAAATGCCATACTCTTCGAATTTGAAAAGTTACCCCCTCTCCCTCTTTGAATCTTTTTTCATCTCTAGCACTTCTGGAGGGGAGGGATTTGACCTAGATCGCTCCCTCCCCTCCTAGTTGTTTTTCCTTTCATTTCCTTATATTCCTTTTGATCTAGTTTTAGATCTAGGAGCTTTGTTCTCCGGATCTTATATTAGGGAGCTTTTCTCTCCGATCTAATTCTAGATTTTGGAGTTTTAATGATTAAGTTTTCCACCTCCAGTTTTAATGGTGTTCACAGCAGTTTCGGTGTCAAATCTATGCTCATTCAACGTGTTTTAGTTACAAGCTTTGGCGCATCGCATTGGCTACAGAGCTTGCTATCACAGGTATCAAATCTAAGTTTTTTCAACATGTTTATGTTGTCCCCGTACAGTAATGATGTTGGGGATGCCGAACCTAGGCGTACACTACCGAAAGGCAAAACCATAACTATAGATGGAGATCTCGGCGTGTGCTTATCATTGATGATGCTGTGTGATTTAGTGATCGGCCGTCGATTCTTTCGCTTGGATGCAGTCACAGATCTGTTCTTGAAAGACGAGCGATTGATTATCTCAAGATATGCCTTGATTTCTGATTTTTGGTTTGTTTTGGAGTTTTGTGGGCTTGCTTTGTTATTGTGACTTTTGAGATATCCTATCATGTATCATTTCGGTAATGAATGGAAATTTGTTTTGACCGAAAAAAAAACTATGAGTTAAGATGAGTTCTTTAGATAAAAAACTATCACCTATATATATATGTTGACACCTAAATTTTGATTAATCATTTAGAAATTAATTACACAAAAAACTAGGAATTAATCTTTAACCCTAGACAAAAATTTTAAAATTATATTGCTTAGCATATAGTTTAGTTGCATTTTGCTTCGGACCGGAAGTGGTAAATAAACCCAAATCAGTTGCGCAAATTTGGCCCGCACATCAAGCTAAACTCAACCAGGCTAGAGAGCATTGTGGCCAAAAATTTCAAGGCAAGATGGGCCTAATTGAGCTTAATTTGATCATATTCCAGCCCATTGAAGTTTAAATACAAGTTGGCCTTAGGTTATTAGAGCCCATCACATTGAAAAAGGGCTTAATTTAAGCTCGCGGTAGTGAGATAAACCTGGGTTAAAACTATAAATACATAGTTATGCCTCTGAATTGAGAGGTCAGCAACATTTTTCTCAGAACACAAGAGTGAAACATGTGAGGAAGAGAGAAAAGAGATGGGGAAGTCACAGCTCCGATACTAAGTTTTTCTAAGAATTATCTAAATATTGATAGATGTATACATAGAAGGTTGTCGTGTACAAAGGATGTGCAATTACTATCGAGAGCAATTTCTATAATATAAAATTTGGTTTTCATAATTTAGTAATTTATTCATTAACTTTATTGGGTATTATTGTCCTTTTAAGAGTCACCGGATGATTCTTTCGATCCCTTTCTTTTTGCAAACTCACGTCTAATCTTCTTTAAGGTCTAAATTGAGTTGCTATGAAGAGAGATATGATGGAGTTCCTGTTCCTTTGATGTTTTGTAAAGATGCGACACATCTTTCCCTCTCGCGTAGTCCTTAAAGCTTCTCGTGACCTGGAAACTTTCCAAGGAAAAGTATGCAAACCATTTCAATTATGTTGGGAAAGAAGGAGATGAAAATCATAGAGAAGAAGGCAGGAATCACATTTGATTCAATCACTAAAATTAAACCTATCAAGTTTCTCGTGGAAATTGAATGTTTAATAATAACCGTGGATATGAAGAGAAATGATTAATGAACCTGCTCCTTCCACGTCTTTTAAAGATGCAACACATCTTTTCCTCTCGCGTGGTCCTTAAAGCTTTCCGTGACACGGAAACTTTCCAAGGAAAAATATGCAAACCATTTCAATTGTGTTGAGAACAAAGGACATGAAAATGATTGAGAAGAAGGCAGGCACCACAGTTGATTCAATCACTAAAATTAACCGATCAAGTTCTTAGTGGATATTGAATGTTCAATAATAATCATGGATGCCAAAATGTACTTGAATATCTGTTACGTTTATTGTGTGGTCTTAGAATCACACTATTAGCAATAACGTAAATTTTTTTATAGAGTATTTGATCATTTATTTGTTGTTCTTGATTATTGTCGGGTTGAACTATAATACTAGGAACAACTTTAGAAGTTTTAGGTATAGGAACTTTCACCCTAACATCTTGAATGCAAACATCACGCATTCTTTCACTCCCACTGATGTCGTGAGCCCGTCGGGGTTCGGGGCGTGACAGAGACCAAGAGATGCTGGTGAGTGATGGCTTTGAACGCTTGCAAGAAGGATTGAGAAAAAAAAAAGGAAGAGAAAAAGCCACGTAGGATAAATGAAGATAAAAATCCATGCTGTTGGGTGGGAATTAATAAAAAAAAGCAACAAGTGAATAATCAATTAATTAAAAAAGCCATGTAGGACTTTTGTCAG